TTTTAGGGCACGTTCATAGATTTGGGAGGAGGTCTCTAAATTCAGTAGGGACGGGGAAGATTACTTTTTTTTAAGTTCTACTTTGGAACCTTTTCCTCATACCCCCACTCTTGGCAAAGGTGGGCGGGGTTTGGCTATGGGAAGGTGGGCACATAGACGTGCCGCTCGTCTGCAGCTTTTCAAAAAAAGAGATGTCGGCACCTGCCTCTCACGCATGCAGGCAGATCGCTACTATAGCTAGTTAGGAGCCGACCGACCCTCGCGTCCGGTGCTCACCGACGGCCATCCCCGTCCGCCCCCCTCACCCCCGGCCGCGACGGCGGCGGCGGCGTGCGCGGCCACGCTCGCGGCGGGCCTGCTCGGCCACAACGGCGGCTGGGACCGGCGGCGTCTCGTCTAGCACTACTCGGAAGAGACGGCTAAGCGCGTCCGTGCGGTGCCCATCGTATCGCTTGATCTCCCGGTACGCGGCCTCGGGCTGGGGCACCTACGAGCACAGACGACGCGAGTGAGTGACACTGAGTGAGAGCGCCGCCCGAGCCGACCCCCGGAGAGCAGGGGTCACGCCTGCACGCCAGCGCGACGCAGCGCGTCGAGGCTCGCGCGGACCGACTGCAGCGCAGCATGCCGGTAGTCGCCGGCCAGCCCGCCAGCCTGTGGCCACTGCGCGGCCCAGTCCACAGAGTCGTCGAAGATGCTCGGCACGTTGCCAACGGGCCGCGTGCGCAAGGCTCGGCGCACACGGGGGATGCCACCGCCCGGCCCTCGCACGTTGGAGTTGTTGTAGAGGTGCCGGAAGTCAGCGCACGCCACCTCGCACACCATGAAGAGGGTGAGCAGCAGGGCGAGCTGGTGCACGGGCTGCTCGATGTCGCACACGCCCGCCTCGATGATGGCGTTGGTGGCGCGTGTGATCGGGACCGCCTCCTGCGTGTTCCACTCCCCGTTCCAGCGCTGTGACGGGATTGAGGAGGAGTCAGTGTGGGCTAGGACGGAGCCAGGACTACCCGCGTACGCGCCTCGACACGCTGGTTGTGGACGGACGGCACGTCGCCCCGCACGCGCAGCCCTTGCTGCTCCAGAGCATACTTGATGAGAGCAAACTCGGTGCCCTGCAAGCGGACGACTACTGCATCAGGCGAAGAAGCTGGGCAGGGACGGGGCAGTACGGCCGCACCCCGTCGAAGATGTACACGTCCGGCGCGCGGCAGTCGTCGCCTCGGACACCCTCGAGGAACAACTGGTAGTGCTCCTCGGCCAGCTTTGTGAGTGCCGGCCGGACAGTCGGCAGCCAGTGAGTATCGCCGTCAATCTGAGAGGGTGCGTGGCGGCCGATTCGGATGGTGTGACAGGTGTGTGGGCGGGTTTAGTGGATCTGGCACCTCCGAGTGGATGCGGAGCTTGCAGATGGAGAACTTGCCGCCGAAGGCGAGCTTCTCGGTCAGGTCGATGTGCGTGTTGTAGCCGTAGTAGTGCGAGATATAAGGCCTGCGCTCGACTGTGCGCTGTAGCTCCTCCCACCGGCGACGGGAGGCGGCCGCGTCCACTCGGCGAAGCGAGGCCTTTACGCGGTCCTTCCCAATCTGCAGCGGCGCTAAGCGCAGGTTCACCCGGCCCGTCGCATACTTTGTGCCGTGCCGCTGGCGGCTGAGCTCGCCGCGATCATACAGATCCCTGACGATCGCATCGAGCTCCGCGGGCGTGCCCGCCCACGTCCGCTTCAGCCCGTGCTGCTTCTTCAGGTTCTCGACATCCGATCTGTCACAGCGCCACCCTTCGGCCGACAGGTGCTGTGCGATGTCCGCACACGAAAGACGGCTGTCAAGCAGCTCTCTGATTCGATGCGGCACCCACTGCGGCGCATCGACGTGCCGGAAGTGGCACCTCGGCATCGGCGCCGGCCAGGAGCGCGCGCTGTGGCTCCCGCGAGCCGAGAGAGGGCGGTCGACGTGTGACACGTGGCTCCGCAATTTGCGGGAACTTGCTGTTTTTTTCTGATTTTGGCAAACGCTTGCTTCGGCACTCACCGCCAGCGGCACTTCTATGGAACACGCGCGCCAAAGGCTTGTCTTCACAACTGGCACGCGCTTCTTTCATGAGGGAACCCGGACGGTGCAGGCAAAAAATAAGAAAATGCCCCGAACAAGTCCGCCATACTATCAACAGGCGCCTGCGGCGCCGTGCTCAGGAGTTGGTTTTCACTCACTCGAAATGTGGACGTAAAAGGGTTAATTCACAGTGTCACCGCTTGCTCGCAATTTCGATATGTATGTGCATGTCGTAAATAGCTCGCACGTCGACCGCTGCCGCGCCTATAGCATACAGTCGCTGGGTGCGGACGCAGGCTTGGTTCGCGTGCTGTTCTCGTTTTCGTCGGTGCGATTGCCACGGTGGCAGGAGCGCAGCTGAGCCCGGAGGCTGTCCTGCGCGCACGCTGAGCTTCGTTTGCGTTTGCGCTGTGGGCTCGGGTCTGCACCGAAGCTTCCTCCGCTGTAGGTGTGAGATGCCGCGGCTTTACTATTCGCTCTGTACCCGAGCTCTCTCTCCGGCGAAGGCTGCAGCTTTGCTCGTGGTACGGCCTCTCTGAGAGCCTCTGACGTCAGCGTTGCCTCTCTCTGTCCCACTATCCTGCCCGCTATATTCGCGATCCGCACCATAGGTGATGCTCGTGTAAGCCACTGCTTCATGCAGCTGCTCACTCTTCCGCGGAGCACTCACTCTCCGACGAGCAATCCCGGTGTTTAGATGCGGCAAGAGAGTATCCTGCTGCGGGTAGTCACCTCGGTCAGGCCCCCCTGCCTGGTGCGTGGTCGAGCCCCGCGGCAGGTCACTTATAATGACTCGACCACGCACCGGTGTGGGGGGCCCTAATTTTCGTGTGAGAACAGGCACCGCCGAGAAGAGATCATACGAGATGTAGATGTGGTGCGTGCGCTCTCACTTCCCTTTCCCACGTGGCTCCCCACGCCCAAGCCACAGGTGTGATGGACAAATCACCCGCATGGTTCCGGTAGCAGGTATGGCGCCGTACCCGGTAGTGCTCCTGTCCATACGATGGGTCACAAAGTCGCACATCACCTCCTGTTCGTCCTCTCCTCCCTTTCCCAGTCCTGGGCGGTGCCCCCCGGCTTGCGCCCTGCTGCGACCTCGGCTGCCCTCGCAGCCGCCTCCCTCGCCGCTGTCGCCACGCGACCTTCGCCGCAGCTGCGCGAGTGCCGCCGCCTCTTCCACCGTCGCCAACTCCTCCCTCGCCCTCGCCGCTGCTGCCGCCCTCTCCGCTGCTGCCGCCCTCTCCGCTGCTGCCGCCCTCTCCGCTGCTGCCGCCCTCTTCCGCTGCTGCCGCCCTCTCCGCTGCTGCCGCCCTCTCCGCTGCTGCCGCCCTCTTCCGCTGCTGCCGCCCTCTCCGCTGCTGCCGCCCTCTCCGCTGCTGCCACCCTCTCCGCTGCTGCCGCCCTCTTCCGCTGCTGCCGCCCTCTCCGCTGCTGCCGCCCTCTCCGCTGCTGCTGCCCTCTTCCGCTGCTGCCGCCCTCTCCGCTGCTGCCGCCCTCTCCGCTGCTGCCACCCTCTCCGCTGCTGCCGCCCTCTCCCTTTCCTGCCGCCGCGGCCGCTCCGCTGCCGCGCCACCGCTGCTGCCGGCCTCTGCTCCTCCGCCACCCTCTCTGCCAGCCGTGCCACCTCCCAGATGGCCCTCTCCACTGCGCGGCTCCTCCTCCTACCGCTGCCCCATGTAGCACTTCCTCGGCGGGCGCTCCGCCTCCTCCTCCGCGTGACCGTCCGCTTGTCGCTACGCCGCATTCGCCTGCCGCGGCGCGGAAGCGTGGCGCTTGGCGGGCGGAGGCTTCGGCTCGCCATCGCTCTCGGATTCGTCGCTCGCGGCTCCGAGGCAGCCGACGTCCGCCGCGCGCTCGCGCTTCCGGCGGGGACCGGCTCCGTCACTCTCGGATCCGTCGTCGTAATGCGCAAAGCTCGTCGGAGCCGACTTGCGTTTTGGGCGCCCCTCCCTCACTGCCGGGGGAGGCAGGGGACCTGAGGTCGACGCCGTCGCCGCTCCTCCTCGTAGCGCGCCGGCGCGCCACAGCACCAACACGTACGCGGC